TGGCCTTTGAAGAAAAAAACAACAAAAAACATGTATGCAGATAAAATAGCCAATCAAAAATTTACATTAACTGCCGCTGCTACTGCTAGCTGTTGTAGACCAAACAAGCCAAGACCAAAACAGCAACGGTGACATTACTGTTGCAACTTAGCACGTGTTTAGTGGGCATAGAAAAATGTAAACAAAAACCTGAACAATAAGGAAAACAACAAAAAACAAAAAAGGTTAAAATGTATGTAGTAGTCCCCCCTTTTCAACCATCAGCTAACTTAAACAGCTATCAAACAAAACACAACATGTTGCCAGTAAATTAGTATGAAATACACAAAGAGAATTTTATAAAGAAAGAGAGTAATATTTTAATTTCATTAAACTCTTATACAAGCGCAGTAGACCAAAAAGTCAAACCAAAAACAATTCATTCATTGAAGTTATATTTTTATATGTAGTATAAATTATTAGATACTTTTTTCAAATTGTTGTTGTTGTTGTTGCTGCTGGCGAGTGGTATGTAGATAAATATTTAAGACTAGCAGAGCTGTGCTGCTGCAACTGCTATAGCAGCAGCAGATAAAACATATGTAAACTTTAAAATTTTGGCTATTTGTACGTTAGTATTTGTCGTGTACGGTTTAACGGTCGCTCGAAATTTTTGAAAATTTTCGTTTAAGAAATTTTTGTCTTTCTTGTCTGTTTGATTTTAAAGCGCGCGTGAATTTAACAAAACAAATTTAACTTTGATTAAAAATACACAGCAACAGTCGCTGTAATTGGCCTAAGCAACTGTTGTTGTGTTATCGGCTTAAATTTAGAAAATTAAATAAAAAGAATATAAAGAAAATCCAAAAAAAAAAAAACGTTTAAACGGTACCGATTTGTCTTTTGTTGTACAAATAAAGTGTTACAAATTGGTAAATGGAATTTTAATTTAATTTACACAAATTAGTGAAAAAAATACTTAATTGTAATTGTTTATAATCGTAAAATGTGCGGTTGTTTGAAATAAATATTTAATTGATGCAATTAAAAGTTTATAATTAAGTTTTGTTCAGTTAATATAAAAAACAATAATTAAAAATTTTTGTTGAAAAAAATTAAAAAAAAAATATTTAAAAATTCGTTTGATTTCCGAAAGCAAGGGCATCAATATGTTCAAAAAGGAGCCCTCTTCCAATTTTAAAAAAAGTGCTATGATGAAAATTTTTAAAATTCTGTGTATAAATGTTAAAAATATGAGTATATACCCAAAACCAAACATGTTTTTTAATATATATCTCGAAAACTTATAGTTTTTTCTAGACAAAATGTATATCAAATGAAAGGTCTTTCGAATATCTTTCTTATGATATACATATTGTTTATGAACTTATCCATATGTATGTAGAACATAGCATCCAAAATATATATAAAAAATTTTTGAAATATCGTGAGTTTCTTCAGAATTCTGTTCAGATCTCTGTTATTTATGCACCGATTATGCTGATTTTGAAATAGAAAATGTCTTGAAAGTATTCTCAATAAAATTATTCAAGATTTTTATACCGAAGATATCTGGGATCTTAAGAAAATTGTTTTCAAAAAACTGACAGACAGATGAACATTATTAATGATTCACATTATATACATATGGACGTAATAGTAAGGTTTATAGTTGATCAGATGATAGGTCTTTCGAATATCTTTCATTTGATATACATATTGTTTATGTTTTTATACAAAACTATGTAGAACTTAACATCCGAATTTACATATATAAAAATTTTTAGAAATATCATGGGTTTGTTCAGAATTTGCTCATATCTCTGTTATTTATGGACCGATTATGCTGATTTTGAAATACTGAACTTCTTGAAAATATGCTTAATAAAATTATTCAAGATTTGGATCCCAAAGATATCTGAGATCTTTTCAATAAACATACTGACAGATGAACATCTTTAAATCGTCTTTGCTGTCTATAAAGATTCATTATATACGTAATAGTAAGGTTCTGTAGATGATCAGATGATAGGTCTTTCGAATATCTTTCATTTGATATTCATATTGTTTATGTTTTTATACAAAAGTTTGTAGAACATAGCATCCGAAGTATATATTAAACATTTTAGAAAAATCATGGTTTTGCTCAGAATTTGGCTCATATCTCTATAATTTATGCACCGATTATGCTGATTTTGAAATAGAAAATGTCTTGAAAGTATTCTCAATAAATTATTCAAGATTTTTATACCGAAGATATCTGGGATCTTAAGAAAATTGTTTTCAAAAAACTGACAGACAGATGAACATCATTAAAGATTCATATTATACATATGGACGTAATAGTAAGGTTTTATAGTTGATCAGATGATAGGTCTTTTAAGTATCTTTTTTTCGATATACATATTGTTTATGTTTTTATACAAAAGTATGTAGAAAATGGCATCCGTCATGGATTTTGCTCAGAATATGGCTCATATCTCTGTTATTTATTAGCCAAATCTGCTGATTTTAAATACTGAACTTCTTGAAAGTATGCTTAATAAAATTATTCTCGATTTGGATCCCAAAGATATCTGAGATCTTTAGAAAATTGGTTTCAAAAACATACTGACAGATTAACATCATTAAATCGTCTTCTTTAGCTATAAGATTGACTATATATTGTATATAGATGTCACACAGTGGTATAGGAAAAAAAAAAGAGGGAAATAATTCGGTAACTTCTAAACGGTTAATCCGATTTTAATGAAATTTGGTATGCACAAAGAGGAGGTGTTGTCGAGTTTAGGTTTTGAATTTGGACCTTATAGGCCAACCAGGGGCCCGGCGGGGGGTCCTCAAATTAGGACACCTCGGCTATGTTAAATTTTTAAAACGATCCTATTTCTTCATTTGAGTTCCGATTTAAAAAAAATTTCGTATATAGAATCTCCTCATCGAGCACTATAAAAAATGTCGTCGTAGCAGTAAATTATCTCTTATAGTTTAGGAGATATTCGCATTTGAATATTAAAATTTTAAAATTTTTACCGTCCTTACTTTAGTTTTTTTGATAATAGCAGGTCCAAATATTTCCGATTTTCGCCATTTTTTTTTTATTTGCTTAACAACAAGTTTATATACCAAGCAGTGAAAGAATTATGTAAAAATCATGACTGAGTCCAAAGTTATAGGCATTTAAATTTAAAAAATTAAAAAAAGGCGATTTTTTGTCATTTTTTTGGGAAAAAAGTATCTTTTTCTTTTTAAGTTATCTAAAAAGTTTCTAAGAAGATGTATATAGAATTTATACTTTTTGGAAAGCTGACATTACATAAAATACGATAAATGAAACAAAACCTAAAAATTTTTGATACCGAGGGGAACAGGTCCATCCAAAAAAACCCTATTTTTTATGGAAAATTAAATTTTGAGCAAAAATTCTCAAATCGCATAGTCGATATCAAATTATAGTGACCTGTTTTATATGACCCAATAAGTTCTTAATCATTTTGTAACGGGTTTCGATAACCCCGCCCCTGGTATGGATATAATAGGCAAAAAACCAAAAAATCCCATTTTTGGGATTTTTTAAAACTTTTTTGGGAATTCCGGGATTTCTAATAAGAAAATTCGAAATTTTTATTTAATTTTGGATTTTGAGTAAAAAAATCTACCTAACTGTAAAATTTCATCAAAAAATATTCATAAATAAAATATTTATTGCAATTTGAAAAATTTGTATCTTCGCAAAAACTGAATAAAAACATTTTTTAATTTTTTTTAAAAAAAGTATTCCGCGAATTTTTTAATTTTCAAAAATTATATACAGTTTTGAAAAATAGACAAAATTACCTTTCCATTGATATATAACATGCCTACCTAATGTTTTTTAAGTGACAAATTAATTAGGGAAAACTCAACATCTTTTAGAAATTTACCTAGCACTATTATTTTCATCCATATATGTAACAAATTTAAGAGTTAACCTTATGGATGAAAATAATAGTGCTAGGCAAATTTTCTAAAAGATGTTGAGTTTTCCCTAATTAATTTGTCACTTAAAAAACATTAGGTAGGCATGTTATATATCAATGGAAAGGTAATTTTGTCTATTTTTCAAAACTGTATATAATTTTTGAAAATTAAAAAATTCGCGGAATACTTTTTTTAAAAAAAATTAAAAAATGTTTTTTATTCAGTTTTTGCGAAGATACAAATTTTTCAAATTGCAATAAATATTTTATTTATGAATATTTTTTGATGAAATTTTACAGTTAGGTAGATTTTTTTACTCAAAATCCAAAATTAAATAAAAATTTCGAATTTTCTTATTAGAAATCCCGGAATTCCCAAAAAAGTTTTAAAAAATCCCAAAAATGGGATTTTTTGGTTTTTTGCCTATTATATCCATAACAGGGGCGGGGTTATCGAAACCCGTTACAAAATGATTAAGAACTTATTGGGTCATATAAAACAGGTCACTATAATTTGATATCGACTATGCGATTTGAGAATTTTTGCTCAAAATTTAATTTTCCATAAAAAATAGGGTTTTTTTGGATGGACCTGGTCCCCTCGGTATCAAAAATTTTTAGGTTTTGTTTCATTTATCGTATTTTATGTAAAGTCAGCTTTCCAAAAAGTATAAATTCTATATACATCTTCTTAGAAACTTTTTAGATAACTTAAAAAGAAAAAGATACTTTTTTCCCAAAAAAATGACAAAAAATCGCCTTTTTTTAATTTTTTAAATTTAAATGCCTATAACTTTGGACTCAGTCATGATTTTTACATAATTCTTTCACTGCTTGGTATATAAACTTGTTGTTAAGCAAATAAAAAAAAAATGGCGAAAATCGGAAATATTTGGACCTGCTATTATCAAAAAAACTAAGTAAGGACGGTAAAAATTTTAAAATTTTAATATTCAAATGCGAATATCTCCTAAACTATAAGAGATAATTTACTGCTACGACGACATTTTTTATAGTGCTCGATGAGGAGATTCTATATACGAAATTTTTTTTAAATCGGAACTCAAATGAAGAAATAGGATCGTTTTAAAATTTAACATAGCCGAGGTGTCCTAATTTGAGGACCCCCCGCCGGGCCCCTGGTTGGCCTATAAGGTCCAAATTCAAAACCTAAACTCGACAACACCTCCTCTTTGTGCATACCAAATTTCATTAAAATCGGATTAACCGTTTAGAAGTTACCGAATTATTTCCCTCTTTTTTTTTCCTATACCACTGTGCAGGGGCGGGGTTATCGAAACCCGTTACAAAATGATTAAGAACTTATTGGGTCATATAAACAGGTCACTATAATTTGATATCGACTATGCGATTTGAGAATTTTTGCTCAAAATTTAATTTTCCATAAAAATAGGGTTTTTTTTGGATGGACCTGGTCCCCTCGGTATCAAAAATTTTTAGGTTTGTTTCATTTATCGTATTTTATGTAAAGTCAGCTTTCCAAAAAGTATAAATTCTATATACATCTTCTTAGAAACTTTTTAGATAACTTAAAAGAAAAAGATACTTTTTTCCCAAAAAAATGACAAAAAAATCGCCTTTTTTTAATTTTTTAAATTTAAATGCCTATAACTTTGGACTCAGTCATGATTTTTACATAATTCTTTCACTGCTTGGTATATAAACTTGTTGTTAAGCAAATAAAAAAAAATGGCGAAAATCGGAAATATTTGGACCTGCTATTATCAAAAAAACTAAAGTAAGGACGGTAAAAATTTTAAAATTTTAATATTCAAATGCGAATATCTCCTAAACTATAAGAGATAATTTACTGCTACGACGACATTTTTTATAGTGCTCGATGAGGAGATTCTATATACGAAATTTTTTTTAAATCGGAACTCAAATGAAGAAATAGGATCGTTTTAAAAATTTAACATAGCCGAGGTGTCCTAATTTGAGGACCCCCCGCC